TTCTCAGAGTGAGTCACAGTGTATTGGAACCCACACAGTCAAACACCTTTGCATAGTCAATACAACACAGGTAAACATTCCCCTGGTACTCTCTGTTCTCAGCCAAGAGCCATCTAACATTAGCTGTAATATCTCTAGTATCACACCCTTTTTGCAACTCAGCCTGCACATCTGGCAGTTCTCTGGAAAGGTACCGTTCCAGTCATTTAGGGACCACTTTCAGCAGAATCTTGCTTACATGTGATATTACTGATATTGTGCAATAATTTCCAAACTCTGTTGGGTTACCTTTCTTTGGAATGGGAAGAAATACATATCTCTTCCAGTCAGTTGGCCAGGTGGGTGACCTCCAGGTTTCTTGGCACAACTTGGTGTGCACATCCAGTGTACGGTCTGTTTGTAGATATATGTTGTATGCCATTAGTGGCAGAGGTCTTGGTTTTTTTCCAATTCTTTCAGAGCATCTTGAAACTCTTCCTTCATCACCACACGTTCTTACACATAACTTGTTTCATAAAATTCTTCCATGTCAGCCAAATCCTTTTGGTAGAGTAATCTTCTTAATGTCCCAAAAGTTCCTTTTAGTTTTTATTTCATTGTGGTCTGTTTTCTTCCCTTCCCCTCTTCACAAGCCATCCCAGTAATGGACACATTTTAGAAATATTTGTCGTAGACATGAATTATTTTCATTGAGTGCCCATGGGTTGAGTTGAAAATTGGCACTAACTAAAAAAACATAATGGAAATGTGGTGCTTACTTCAGCAGCATATACACTAAAATTGGAAGGATTATGTACCTCTCCCAGGAGTGGTTCGTACTTGCTACATGGTCAAAATAGGGAAGATGAGACCTCAGAAAGTGTGTGTCCAAAGATCAATCTGGTTTCACCCTCACCATGAAAATCATGTTTGTTCTCCTGGCAGTCCAGGGTATAGAGATCTCTTCCAGTCAGTGGGCTAGGGGGTTGACCTCCAGGTTTCTTGGCACAACCTGGTGAGCACATCCAGGGTAGGGTCTCTAAGTAGAAATATGTCATTGGGTATGCCGACAGTTGCTGGGGTCTTCGGTTTTCTTTTGCCAATTCTTTCAGAGCACCTTGAACTTCTTCCTTCATCACCACAGGCTCTTGGACATACCTTGTTTCAGGAAATTCTTCCACGACAGCCAAATCCTTTTGTATACTTCTTCCTTTTACTGCTTCCTGAACATTTAATTCTCTGCTGAAGGCATCCGTGAGTATTGCAACTCGAGGCTTGAATGTCTTCTTCAATTCCTTCAGCTTAACCAATGCTGAGCAAGTTCAGCCCCTTTAATTTTCTGACTCCAACTCTTTGCACATTCCATGATACTTTGTCTTCCTGTGCTGCCCTTTGAAATCTTCTGTTCAGCTCCTCAAATTCTTGATTTCTTCTCTTTGTTTGGCTTCTCCG